ATGTGCATAAATAAATGAATAAATTAGTAAATAAGAGAAACACACACATGCAGAACACCATTTGTTTTATGATAGAAAACATTTCAAATCCCTGGCCAAGGTTTATATTTCAGTTCAAGGACAGCAATCTGTCTTTCATGCTTTCCTTCACCATGTCCTGAGCAGTCCCTAGATGCTACAGCGTGAGCTCCCATCGATGGGTGCTGAGATCTTGGAGGACGAAGGGAAGACCCTCACGCTGTCCATGGGGGGGTGTCCTGCGGGGAGGTGACCCTCTGTGATCGTCACCCCTGCTGGCTCACGGGTGATGAGGACCAGACGATGTGGATCCCTTTGTGCAAGCCAGCTCTTCTAGGTTCCCCCCCCCCCCGCCCCAAGATGTTCAGATTTGGGCTATGACCCAGTCATACAGGACGTGGCAGGAGGTTCTGGGACAGCGGCCACAGAGTTGGTCTCAGGAGAGGCCCTTGGACCACATGGACGTGTTCATGAAGTGAAACGTCTCCCTCTGGAGCGTGCCCTGAAATCAGGGTTCATTCACTTCTTGGTCGTGTTCGAGAGGAAATCAGTCATAAGATTTAGGCCTGGAAGGACCCCGGGAGGTGTTTTAGTCTAACCGTCCCACCCTCCTTTTTACAGAAGAGGAATCTGAAAGCTAGTCAGTCACTGAGCATTTATTGAGCACCTGCTGTGTGCCTGGGCCTGGGCTAAGTGCTGGAGTTACAAAGAAAAAGCCAAAATAGTGCCTGCCCTTGGAGGGCTTTAACTCTAATGGAGAAGACAGCGGGTCTTTAGTTACATGGTAGAGGCTCTTCCCCAAGGTCCCAGAGTTAAAGTGGGGATTAAAATCCAGGTCCTGTGACCCCCAGCCCGCTGCTTGCTTGAATTCTCTGTGGGTAACTGAGCTATCATCCACATCATCTTGGTCTGCTGTTAGTTGCAAGACTTCGCAGTTATTAAGAGGGAACCAGAAAGCCTTTGGGGATCCTCTCACCACCCACGACCAGGCTTGTTTATTTTTGTTTTTTATTCCTGGGCCACCTTTCTGTAGAATGCCATACACAGACAGGTGTGGATTTTAAAGATCTTGTTTTCTTTCTCCCTGGACTCTTGTTTTCATCTTGTTTTTGTTTTTTCAGGGAAACAGTAATTTGGTTTAATTGGTTAAAAGCCAATCTGAAAAAGCAAAAATTTGGAATTATTGAATATGTATTTTTTTAAATTAAAATTTTATCTTTTAAATTAGCAAGCATTTATTTTCTCTCCCTCCCACCCTTTCCCCATCAGAAAAAAATAAAAGAAAGGAAAACAAAGCTTTTGTAACAAATCTACGTGAATAAGTTAAACAAATCCACGTATTGCCCACGTCCCCAAATGTGTCTCATTCTACATCTTGTGTTTAATGCCTAGCATTAGGAGGTGATGATTGGCCTTTGTCTTGATCAGAATTATTGAATTTGTTTAAAAATGCAATTTTATTACTTTAAAATACTTCTGTAACTGGGCCTGGTCTGTCTGGCAACCAGAGATTTCTTGGACCTGCTTTAATGAATAGGTAATAATTTCTTGTTGTTTTTTATTCCTTTTTCAGTCATGTCTGACTCTTTGTGACCCCATTTGGGGTTTTCCTGGCAAAGGTCCTGGAGTGGTTTGCCATTTCCTTCTCCAGTCCATTTTACATATGAGGAAACTGAGGCAAACGGGGTGAAGTGACTTGCCCAGGATCACATGACTAGTGAGCGTCTGAGGCCGGATTTGAACTTGGGAAGATCAGTCTTCTTGACTTCAGATTTGGTGCTCTCTGCGCTGTGCACCTAGCTGCTCCTATAGATAAGAGTGTTGTGTAGTTAACATTTCACTATTGGGCATCTGAGTTGGCAGTCCACACAGTTAGGTACCCATTGGCAGAGGCTGTGGGTTCTCCATGGCCCTGCCACTGGTGCACAAGCACATCTTGGGTGTCTCCTACCCACTGGACAGACTGAGCAGGGTCTGCCGAAGGCTTTCTGATTCTGAGGACTGCCCCAGGACAGCCCCTGGGGATGGGCGGTTGGTTTGGTTTGCAGCCACGTTTGCAGCTCCCAAAGCGTGGGGGGCCTGGGCTCCGTGTCAGTGGTGGGGACCCACTGCCCTTTGAGTTGTTGGAGTGGAAACTCTCCTAAAGCCACTAAAATGGTTCTTTCTTGTGGGTAAGCAGGCTGAGCCTTCCCTCTTTGCAGTGGAAGCTTGGGTCGGAGACTTGACTCAGTCATTGACCAGCCCAGAGTTAGAGAATCATAGGAATGGCCAGTGGCCCGGGGCTTCCAGGCATCCCATGGGCCCCACGGTCATCCTTCCAGGCTCTCCTTTAGCCAAGTCTCGAGTTCCAGCAACAGTCTTTCGTTCTCCTTCCATTTCATTCTGCAAAGTCTTAGTGGAATTCTCGTGTTCTTGGGCCCTGATTCTCTACATGTGAAAAAATGACCTGGTTCCTGCCGATGTTTTAAAAACTGATTTGTAATTACTGTGGGGCTGGCATGAAGGTGAACCTAACTGTGACATGGTGAGAAGGAGAGGGCCAGGGAGAGAGCGCCGTAGAAACTTGAGAAGGAAGGGCGTCTTTCATTCTTTTGGTTTGGTGGGGGCTAAGTCAGGGAAATCTTCCCCGGGGAGAGGGCGTCTGAGGGGCTGTCAACGGCTCGAGAACCTCTGGAGAGAGCCCATGGTCCCCAGCGCTTCCACGGTGGGTCCTGGCCGGGCCCCTTGGGCTCCTTGGAGATAGAGAGCTTGAGGGCCTTTCTGCGTCTGTCTCCCCAAATCCTCTTCTCTTCAAATGGTCTCAGATTCTGAACGAGCAGAGCCCTGATTCTGGGGTGTCCTGGGGTTCTCGAGGAAGAGTCTGCGGGTGCGGTGGGTGCTGTCCCTGATCAGTGTTTGGCTCTTTCCAGATGTTTTAGGTTATGCGGCTGGAGGTGGTGAGGCAGTACTTTCTCTGCTCTTCCTGAGGGTCTGGCACGCAGTGGGCCCTATCCACGTGCTGGCTGTTATCCTCCTCACTCATGCCCACCCCACGTGGCCGGTCCTTTCTGTGTGTGCAGCACCTCCTGTCCCTGTCCTCTTTACAGTCCCAGTGTACCTGTCTCTGTGCAGCTGCAGCCTGTCAGTCTGACTGTGTCGTTCCCCCCTGCCCGACCTCTCTGGCTGTGGCAGCCCTTTGCCTCTAGGATCAGGCACGGGCAGCTCCTCGGAACTTGGCTCCTTGCTGCCGTGGCCACCTTCCTCCACCTGCTCTGCCGTCGCCCCGGTGCAGCATCTCCTTTCCCATCTCTGTTGCCGGGACTCTTGACTTGCCTTCTTACGTCCATCCTTGGGATGGAGTTTCAGAGGGCCTGGTTAGCAAACGCTCGTTTTCTGCCTTGTGAGATAGAAAGCCCAGGCAGAGCCTGTCCTGGTTTTGCTCGTACTCTTCCTGCTGAATGAGCCACTCAGCCCCTCAGGAGTAGGTTTTGTCCTCTGTAAATGGGGGTGAGACTGTATGTCCTGCCAGCCACTGAAGGGCCTTGGGAGGAAGGAGCTTTGCACCTCTGAATTGCTAGCTCACTGACATGGTCGTGGAGGCTTCTTTGGGACCCTCTTGTTGGCTCCTTCCAGCCTTGGAGTCAGCTGGCCATCGGATGGGGTGAGAGTTCTGGGCTGTCTGTCAGGAGGCCTGGGTTCCAGTCCTAACTCCGGGACTTAGGAGCTGTGTGAGCACCAGACAGCCTCAAATTTTCTCCAAGCCTCGGATTGCTTGTCACAACAGGGGAATGGTCCTCTTGGACTGGCCATCAGGAGGGAAGCATCCAGGAGTGCCATGTGACACAACGGTGTTATGGTTGCCATTTCTTCCCTGGAAGTGCTTATCTGAAGGAGATGCTAAAAATGCAAATTGTTTGTGTGCCCTGATCGTCCCATCGGTGTGCGTGCGTGTAGATCTGTGTGGCGTAGAAAACCCGTGTCGTCACGAAATGTGGGCAGGTTGGGGCCTGATGGAGTCACCTGGTTCTGATGTTAGCGGTGCCTCAGAGGACCCGGTGGCTGCTTGCAGAGTACCCCTCTGCTCTTTCGTTTCTTCTCTAGCTGCCCTTGGAATTGTTAGGGACGTCAGTTCTCCAGGGAAGAAATGGGTAGGGGAGTATTGTGTGGGCATGCATTTAAGTAAGACTTTGATTTCCTGGATCATGCCCTCAGTATTACTTTGGTGAAGCTCCCAGCCTGATCAGGGCTGAAAAATGGTGAGTTCTGGAGCTGATTCAAGTGCTTGTGACTCCTGAACATTTGATTCACCTTGTGGTTGGCCAAGACTGAAGCAGAAAGAATGGCTTTCCTGCCTGTCCACGGGGTGGACTTGTCTGCCGGCGGGGCCGTTCTTGCTGGCCATTGGCATAGAAGCAGCAGGAGAGGCGTCCACCATGTGACCTGCAAGTGGTGGGAGTAGTGTCCCCAGGAGTCTGGCCAGTTGCACATCGTGGTAACAGCAATGCGGCTTACACTCACATAGGATGCCACGGTGTGCCGTGGGCTTCTTGGATATTCTTGTGTGGGAGCCTCCTAACGGCCAGATGGTGCACATGGGCAGGCCAAGATTTTAATCCTTTTTCTTTTTTTTTTTAAACCAAAGAGGAAAATGAGGCATTGTAGGGTAAACAAACCCGAGTAAAGGCCAGTGTTGCCCAGAATACTGTCTCTGTTCCTGGTCTTCTGACTCAAAATCTGGGCTTTGTCCACAGCCCTTCAGCTGCCCCCAAACATGGCAGAAGCTCCCAACAGACCTTGTAGTCAGGAGCCTCTGTTGGGGGAAAAAAGGAAAGACTGGGGATTTTATGTGCTTGATTTAGGAGCAATAGATAATTACTCGCATCTGTGTATCTGCATCAAATTAATTAGAATTAGCATCGATATATTGTTGAGTTGGATTCATTTCTAGGGTCCACTTGTATGCATTCCTCATTTCCCCTCTTGGTGTGTTTATTCTGTTTCAGATTTTTGAAAGAATCTTGTTTATCTGGGCCATCCGTCACCCTGCCAGCGGCTATGTTCAGGGAATCAACGACCTCGTCACCCCCTTCTTCGTGGTCTTCATTTGTGAACACATAGGTGAGCTTGTCTTGTCACTGTCCCTGCTTGGATGCAGGCTTCTGCTTAGCTGTGTTCTGCGCTGAAAGGAGGAGGCTATGGAGGGACGTGAAGGCCTCAGCACCAAAGTCTGGAACTCTACCATTTAAATTTAAAACTGGTATTGATCCACCCCCAACCACCACCTCTCGCTGATGCTATTCCATGGAAATTCCTCTCTGGGTTTGGGGGGTACAGGTTTCATTTTTGCACCTGTGTGCTTTACCAGCTTAATTTCTATGTGGCGTCCAATTGTCATCCTTGTCATAAGCTAGATTGATTACATTTAATAGAGGACAGATTACCCTTGAGTGACTGAAATCCTCTTCCCTGCACCACCTCTCACTTCGTTTCCACTCCTCGCTTCCTCAGGAGGAGGACTTTTCATTGCTAGGCAACTAATGAGAGCCACTGCTGCTTTCTCCCTAATCATCTCTTAAGTAGGGTAGAGGCTACTCCTGAGAGCGCTGGTGATTTCTGCATCTCGCTCCCTCATTTGACAGATAATGAAAATGTTCTTAATGATCCTAGAACAGTAGGATCTCTGCTGGTAGACTTTGGAGTTGTTAATTGAAATAAGAAATTCAACTGAGATGTGATTAGAGAATTGATATTCCATGTTAAATAGACCATTTAATTAATGTGGTAAATAAGTTGGTCTTAACTACTTTACCACCAACTTACATTGCAAGACCCAAGTGGTCGTTAATGCATTGCCTGGAGAGCAGCAGGACGGGACCAGGAGAACATGACTGTGTTACTGATTGCCCGGTGGAAGAAGAAAATCGGGATGCTAAAATGTATGTTCTACAAAATGGGTTTTCTGATTTACCTTAAATAGCTTCTTGTCCCCTCTGTGTGCGGATTGCATTATTCAAAACCAAGTGATATCTGTATAGATAGCATTTCGTCAAATCTTGCACAAAACGCATCATTCTCTCTGCTAGTTGACTGATTTAGGATGGATGGCTTTCTGATATTGACCTTGGTTTTCAAGAATACAGTGGAACCGCATGTTCTCATCTGTGAATGATAGCTATTAAAGTTAATTCTATCTTTCATTATGCCGTTCAGTTTTCTCGTTTGTCCAAATTGACTCGGATGGGACTTGTTTGTCTTCTTATACTTTGCTAACTTCATTTTCTTGCTTTACATAGTTTCATTCTGGATCTCTTTCCAGTAATCTTCAGCTATTCAGAATGCAGGAGGAAGGTGGTATTTTGGATAATTGAATTTTCAAGACATTGAGGACTAAGGCATCTGTGGCATAGTCGAGGCAGCCATGAGGCATTGGAAGGAGTCCTGGCTTTGGACTCAGAAGACTCGAACTGGAGAGCCGGCTTAACTCTTCGCTAGGGGGTGACCCTGGGCATGTCATGGACTCACTCCTGCCTCAGTAGGAAAAATAAACCCAAACTGAACTCTCGTAAAAGTCCTTCCTTTGGCCTCTCTCTGGGTTTCAGTTTTCATTCTGCTGGACAGCAGACTAGAAAGAGCAGGAAATTAGACTGATTATGGATTGCCTCCAAGGAAGTGGATACTTGAATCAGTCCTTGGTTTGGTTCATTTTTAACTCGTTTTATTATATTTTCTCATTTTATCCCAAAAGTGTCATTCAGCAAAAGATTCAAATTAGTTTAGGGTTTGGAGAATCCTTTTACCAGCTGCCGGAAGAAGAGCTCAGCAGTCATAGTTGGTGACACCCACTGAGGGATTCCAGATGTTGCACTCCGTAGACCTGGCATGCGAGTAGGAAAGGGGAGTAGACGCAGGTGGACTGGCCCTCCCCGAGGCTCGTCAGACCGGCAGAGAGCAAGCCGATGGCCTCGAGGGGAGCCTCCAGTGCCTGGCAAACTTGGGAAGCTTTGGAGGCGCGTTGGTGGGACAAGGTTTTCTCCGGCCTTGCTGGCAATGACTGAGACAAGGAGAATTTAGGAGAAAATGGAAGGTGGAATAAGTGTGGGACAGTAGGTGGTATCACTGAAGGGAATCCAATCTTACGGACTAGGGCTTCAGGCAGTAGAATGGGGGCAAGAGGCAGAAGGTGTTTCATTGGGACATGGAATGATGGGAACCACACCAGGAGGGCTTCCTCCTCAGCCTTGATGGTGAGACAGAGAAATACCGTGATCCAGACTGGGTGCCAGGAAATGGGAAGAACGTGGAAGACTGTTCCTGGTAGTCTCTGGAGAAAATAACTGGGAAGGAAGCTTGGAACCACTTTGATGGCTTAAGGTGTCAGCGCACCAGTGCACAGAGTACGGTTAATAGAAAGAAACTGCAGTTTTCACATAGGAAATGACTGTGATGCCATAGCTATCTCTGAAACTTGGTGGAATGGGTCTCATGCTGGAATGTGGTATTGGAAAGGCCCCTCCCAGCCCTGACACTCCTTGTTCTAAGGCCCCTCCCAGCCCTGACACTCCTTGTTCTAAGGCCCCTCCCTGCCCTGACATCCCCTGTTCTGAGTCTCCTCCCAGCCCTGACATCCCCTGTTCTGAGGCCCCTCCCAGCCCTGACCTTCCCTCTGCTCAGAAGAGGTGGAGGTTTCATAATCTAGCTCTGTCACGTACTACTTGTGCAGGGTCTAACTCTGGGCAGCATCCCTGACTCTGAGTTTCTTCTCCCAAAGGGGGAAGGGGGAATGGGCCCAGGTACCATGTGACCTTCCTGTCATCTCTCAAGCTGAGATGCTCATTTGATAGAAGGCATGGGGGGAGCCTTGTATCTTGAGATTCATGTACCTGACCTGGAAATCCATCACTGGGGAAAGGAGAATGGCAGAGGACATTTGGATGAAGAGGGAAGAGTAAGCCTGCTGTCACGGGGCCCAAGGGACCAGAATGAGGCTCCTTCTGGTGCTTTCTTGGTGCTTCCAGAAAGTAGGCTAAGTGGCCAATTAGTCAGCCCACAGGGGCTCCTCGAGGACTTGGGTTTGCTGTGGTTCTGACCCGCCGCGGGGGCTGGGACTGGAGAACAGGCAAAGTGCAGGGAGCAGCCTCTCCTCTTGGGAGCTGACTACTGTGAGGGCAGTGGGGCCGTAGGGCAGTGGCAGTGAGCAGGAAAGGTGATGTCAGACACCCTGAGACGAGTGACTGCGGTGTTTATCGTTTGAAGAGCTGGGTTTTATAGATTTGGTATTTCAAAGTTCACAGGACAGCTGGTCAGCTCTGCAATGGGGCGGCCTCAGCTACTGCCTCGTGTCACCGGGTTCTGCCCAGAACACACAGAATCAGATATTCATCATGCAGGTCCCTAGTCAAAGAGTGAAGAGGGTGTCCCAGCTGGAGAAGTGCTCCACGGCGAGCAGCGGTCTGTGATTCGTGGCTGGAAGAGCTGAGCTGCCTCCTCTGGAGAAGAGAGTTTGTTGAGAATATACCGTCTCTCTCATGAAGGGGGTGGGAGCTCCAGAGAGCTGCCTCAGCTAGTGCCAGTGGATGGAAGTTACTGGGAGGCAGAGCTCAGGGCCTCCGTGAGGTAGTGATCTGCCTGTCCCTGGCACAGCTCAGACAGACATGAGATAAACCCTAGGACATCACGGCAAAGCTTCCTGGTTTGTGTGGCAGGTGGGAGGATCTCGGCAATCTCTTCCAAACCCTTAGGTCTGTCCTTTCTTGTAGCATTTTGCTGGAAAAGGAATGACACATGAGACAATCCTGATCAGCTTAACTTTCCAATGTGACAGTGTCAGAATCTCTTTGATGAACACTAGCATGGTTGTGGAATGGAAAAGCAAGAAGTATCCCATCAAGCTGGCAAGGTCATGGGGAATCATTTTAGACAGCAGTGTCATTTTCTTGGTGGAATTTCGGCTGTGGAAATGCAGAGACCATTCTGACCAGTTCTTCAGGGCAAGTGGCTGCTACTGTCTTTCATGGGAGCTTGTGTGATGTGATGTTTGAGCCTCCCTCTTGAAGCAGCTCTAATTGATGCCATGTTGTGTCTAGTTTTTTTAAATAATAAATTAATTTTTAAGATGAATATAGAAAATGGATGAAATGGGTCCTATCTCTGGCCTAACACTGAAGAAATATTTATCTTCATGCTCTCCTTGGTCAGTGGCTTAAAATGGATGTTTTTCCTAAGAATATTTTGGCCTTTGGTCGGTGAAGAGGGGTGAACTTGTGGAGTCGTCCTGAGTGTGTTATGGGGGCAAAGTCAATCTGCATGACCCGGAGGGACAGTGGACAGCTCCGGCTGAGACTTGACCCTCATCGGATTTCCACTGGGCCTTCCCATTATCGGCTGTAAATTAAAGCTTGAATGACGGGAAAGGAGAGAGAAGCTCTGGGACCATCAGCTTGATAAATGAGACTTTTCTGAAGCTTTTGTTGTGACTGTCCTTGTTTGCTTTTCATCCATTTTCTGCCTGGCGGAGAAGGTGTTCCCGGGGTTCTCTTTTTCTGTCCTAGTGACAGATACGATTCTGTTGTCCATCAGAGCATTATGCCTCTTTTGTGAAATAGAAAGAGGTTCTCAATGGACATTTTGTGCACTTAGACTAGAAGGACAACATGCAATCTGTGCTGTGGGTGGCCAGACCCTTCATTAGGCTAAGTGGCCACACCTGGATTTACCTTTGTTCCTCATCTTCATTACCATCTCATTTTTGTTTAGCGTTTTGTTAAGCACTGAAGGCAGGTAATCTGCCATGATTAATCCCCTCCTCCTCAGGAATACTGGAATGTATAGGCTGATCTGGCCCAGGAGTTTGACCGTTTCAGCAGATTTATGAAGCCTGTACCAGGTAGAAGGAAGAGCCTGTGTTGGATTGGGCATCCAGAGCAAACCAAAACAAACAGTCCTTGGCCTAGCAATCTTCTCTTGTATTGAGAGAGCTTCCATGGGCATAGAAACAATTCAAGCAAAATAAATGGAAGAGGAAGAGCCTGTGGAAAGTGGCAGGGTCAGCAAGGGCCTTGCTCAGAGAGGACACCAGCACTTTGCCTTGAAGAAGCCGGGATTCAGAGAGAGGGCACGAG